GTCCGATCTGTGAATGAAATTCTTGAAAAGCAGTGCTGTTTTACTGCCCTTATGGTTTTTTTTTTTTTCTTGCAGGAATCTAAAGGCGACAGCAGCGAAGAAGAATCGAAGTATTCGTGGGTGGTGGAAGGAGAGGAGGATGGTGCGTGGATTAAGCATTTCTTTAGAAGCTGATGACCATTTCCCTGCATATTTTTAAAAATGACACATCCCGTCTAAGACTAGCCCGTTCTCAGTGCGTTTGGATTGGTAAGGTTGCGTTGGGGATCTTATGTCACATTGAGTTAACGAATGCAGTTAGCTGGGAATTTTCAAACAAAACAGTTTCAAGCGATTGTTCTTCCACATCCTTGTTTTATTCTTCTAAAAAAAGTACTTGTTGGCGATACAGCACCACTGGAGGGTAAAGGGGAAGGAAGACGCAAGGGAATATCTTAGATGGCTGTTTTTAACAGTTCTTAGTTATCCACTGACTGAGCGCCAAATGTGGACTATATCTTTGAGTAATGCAGGACGAACATGCAGAAGGGCCAGTGAGTAAACAAAAAACAAAATTTCGAGGCGCTGGTGAACTGACATTTCAAAGGTGGCACCTATGCAGTGTTTCCTCAAATCTTTTGAGGCATTTGTTTTTCCCATTGCGTCTTAAATAGATGCTAGAACTGCACTTTGTTGCTTATTTTTTCTGATATGTTAATTCAAAGAGTGAATTATTCCCAAAAAGTTCAAGGCAACTCATAACTTGCGGTCGGTCGCTAGCCTAAACACGCCCTCAGATAATGCAAAAGGCTAAAAGTGAACAAAAAAAAAAATATATTTTTGTTGCATTTTTTATTTTTGAGCCTTCTTTGCTTCCTCGTTTTCGCAGTTCCTTTTCATTGAAAACAATAATGAGGACAGTGATGAAACTGCAGTTATCAAAATTAACTGCGTAATTTCTCGCAAGCATTGCTGGATTTAATGTTGCCTGTTTTTAGTGTCGTCAACCTCCGACGATGATGAACAATCAGCTGGTGAAGACATTCCGGAGAAGGAAGAAGGCGATAGCGCGGGGCATCCTACTGCGGAGTAAGAGCTTATTCTGTTCTGATACAGGCACCATCCGTACTAATAAATTCTGTGAGTGCAAACATCTCGTGTAGTGTGTACGAAAAGGCACATTCAGGAATGTCTAGCAAGCGAGATAATTTTTTTGTCCTGTTAATAAAATTTTACTGGTCTTTGGGTCTGTCCACCTGTCTGTCTGTACGCGTTTGTTTATCTGTATTTGTGTGTTTGTACACGGCGTACTGCTCAGGAGAGGGCGACGGAGATGGGGGAAAGCCCCCCTTTTACTCTGGAACTGTGCAAAAACTAGGAATAGAGTTGTAACACTGCTACTTAGAGTTACTTTAGTTTCCTTCATGAACAGACCCGGCTTTTGCAGCACTGATACCCGTGCTGCTGGAGCTGGGGGGTGAAAAACCTTTCCTTAGCCCCTCTCCTCCCTTGGATCCGTCTACTTTTGTGGAAGAAAACGACCACTCGATCAACCTTTGAATTTGTGTAGCTTTAAAGAGCTGAAAGCGTGTGACGGAGGGCGCGCTTTAACTGCTCACCGTATGAAATATGTCAAATATTTGTGCCGTATGTAATTTTTGCGTCTGTTTAACTGTAACTGGATAGCTGTACCAATAAATTACTGTGGAGCATATTTGATAATTGAATTCATCATTAATATATTTTCAGAGTTCTGCCGGCTGTTGATCAGGAAGCACAGGCAGCTGACACGGAAGGGCCGGAACGAAAACGAGCTCGTGTTATAATTAAATTCCCTTGAGAAGTACAGATTGCGGCGTATCACAGTCTCGCCACATGTTGAGCTAATTGGTGCTGTGGTCCGATAGGTTGTGACGCACTATTTTTATTTTAAATTTCTTGCAGCTGCCAAAATTTACATTCCGC